AGCTACCCACTGTGATGGATACGTAATTCATTACTAGTTTTTCTGCTGTCTATATTTGAATCTTGTGGAACAGCTGTTTTCACTTTAACATCTCTTAGATGGTATTGGATTTGATTTTCCTGACACGCTGTTGCCTTTACAAGTTGGGTGGGTGTGATGCACTTCCCTTTTTCTTCCTCTCTCTGTCTGGCCTACTGTTAATGGTTGTAAAGACAAATGTGTTTGATTTGCTTTAAGTTACTGTTTTGGATGCTGCAGGTTAGGTTGGCATATTCAAACCGCTTCCCATCTCTGTGTTTGGTGTTTCCTGAATGGAAGTCATCACTAGACTCCAACACAAGTATAGATTTGAAAGCCTCACTGGTAACTTGGTTTAATAAGCTGTCAGGACATTTGCTTTAGTTTTGGAACTGCACCAATAGTACTAATGGTCTTTTGTTCATTGAAATGATTGTTGTAACTCTCAAAAAAAAAAAAAACAAACCCAAAGGCAAAAGCCCACCACCACACTGTGGAATCTCTAGGAAGATCACTGATGTCCTCACACAAGAACAACACTACTTTGGGGAAGGCTTATATTCTTCTGCCACTTTAAGGAAAGACTGTTCTTCTGAAGTACTTTTTGCCTGCTTTTAGGCTGTTATGCACTTTCATGATTTCTTAACAAACTACTGTTAAAATGTACTGTAACCTGGATTTTGATAAGCGCACATGTATTTAAACAATTCACTCAGCCTCAGGAAAGCTGGAAAAATTGGATACCTGTTTTGTATCTTGGTTAAAATGTTTGTTACCTGCATCTCTTAAGATGGCCAGATAATGTCTAGATCCTGCGAGTGTAACTATTTAAGATACCAGTATAGTCTGTAAAAGGAGGACAGTGTAATTTTGCTTTAGGGACAGAGAAAAGGGTGTCCTTCTCTTATTTTTCTTAGAGGTATATATATAGTCTGAATTGGAGTTTCAAAAGCAGAAAGCAGTAATAAACCCCATTTACTGTTCGGGAAAAGAAATGTTTTCTTTCGTAACACTATCTGATTTCTATTTTCTTCCTTCTCCTTAAAGAGCGTGTGTGAAATAAGTGCAGAGGTATGTGTAGGAAAAACTGTAAAATCTGCTGCTGTACATGTTTGCTACTTGACTGCATTTTCTGTTCCACTTTAATTTTACTGGTTTTGCTAAATATATTTTATATATTTTCCTTCCTGCTTCTTGTGATGGCAGAGTGATTACATCTTTTTGGGGGAAAAAGCAAAAACAGCCATGACAAGGCTTTGGGGCCAGACAATGCCATGAAGGTTGGATGTTCCCATGCATCTCAGGACATTTTTAGAGAGAACTGTGTAAATCAGAAGCCTTGGTAAAATCTATGGGGATGTAAAAATGGTCAGAAGTGTAGATACTGGTAATTCTGTTGAAGGGTTGGGTGGGTTTTCTTTTTTCAAATACTTGTAAAGTCTGTTTGAAATGTCAATACCACTAGGTGTTATTAAGTGACCAGTGGTCACTTATGTAGAGCATTTTTCTATCTGAAAGCTGTAGCCCTCTGTGGATCCTGAATCATTTCCAAGGAATGCACAAATCCTGGCAAAATAGAAAGAAGTCACGGGGATCCTGTATCACTGTCATGTTTCTAAGATTTCTATCTTAGAAACATAGAGAAAGAGTTGGGACTCCATGAACTACTTAAAGATGAAAGCTTATTTCTGTACCTGAATTCATGGAGTGACTGCAAGCTTTGAAGAGGCTGACTGGCAGTCTGTCCTTCCATTGTGCCACAAGGTCTTGGGAAGCTGTGGTGCACCTGGCCCACACAGGTACCCCGTGGGGCTCCAACACACATCTGATTCTCCATCTGTAGGGGGAACAGCTTGGGAGTGAAAGTAAACGTGCAGCAAGCTTTGCTTACGAAGAGGAGGTGTTGCAGGTTGTTTTCTATGTAGAATATTTTCACTTTGCTGTTTTCCATCATCAGAAGAAGGATTATGTTATTAACTAGAAATAATCCTTGTATGGCTGTAAAGCATTGCATGCTTCACTGCCTTCCAAATCAATGTGCAGTTGGTTTGAGGGGTTTTTTTATGTGGGTTTTTGGGCTTTTTTGGAAAAAAGCTAATAGAAGTTTTTTAGACTTAATGGCAACAGGAAAGATTCTACAATAAGAATTTAATAATCTATTTTCATATTAATTAAACCTGATTATACTTTTTCATATGGCTGTGGGTTGTGCTACAGTGAGAACAAAACTAGAATTTCATTAGTAGAGAAAAAATGCGACAGAGTAAAACTAAAAACTCAAACTCCAAAACAGAAATGCCTTGTGAGTAACAAGTTGCTATTGCTTTGCAGGGTAGAACTGTGTTTTTAAACACTGTTTCTGATCTATCAAATGCATTAGTGAAGAGGCAGTGATCTATGTCACCAGGTTTGTCTCAAGGACACCAGTGTCACTGCTGGGTGACAGGGGTCTGTCAGTGAAAGGGCAGGGGAGATAGCCTAACTGGAAATACCTGTCTGCAAAAAATATTAGGGAACAATAAAACCCAGTTATTAATGAGAAATTTCTTTCAGGGTGCACTTTACAGGTATTTCTGTGTTTGTATTTTATTTGTCCTCGCATCCCAAAGAAATTGTAGCCAGAGATAACCTGTTATCTTTCCTTCCTACAGCATTACTTGAGCTCCTTTGGAGCTTTGCTTCTAGAACTGTCTTGTAACAGGATTCAAGCAAGGACTGTGTTTGCTGCCAAGTAGTATTTGATATCATAACCTAAATAATGTCACCCTGTCAGCCCATCCCTGAGCCCCCACACAGCCATGTGCCCTTGTGTGATCTGTCTAACTTTGCTGGTGAGGAGGAATTGCTTGCCAAGGGGCACTCTGCTGCTCTGGGAAATCTGGACTGAGAGTGTGTGCCATCCCAGTCTCATTTCTACTTTTATTTCAGCGCTGTGCAGAATGTTTTTCATGTAAAATGCCTTACTAACATGCATGAAATAGGAAAATTACTGAAGTGTCACTTCACTGTAGTACCTAAACCACATTTCTTGCTGCAGTCAGTAATGCTACACAGGTATCAATATCAAGATAATTGTCACTTTCCACAATGCAGGGAAAAGGGGTTGGTTGGTTTGTTTTAAGTTACAGCAGTGCTGGCAGCATGAATAGATATGGATGCCCTCCATATGAGACAGTTTTCTGTGCTGGGATGAAGACCTTTTTTGTCAAGAGCTTTCAAAGACAAAGTGGGTAGTGCATTGCATGCCAGATTCAGATGCAAAGGAGTCTTTTAAACCAAATGAAAATGCCCACAGTTCTCTACTGTTGTGAAGAGCTTTGTTTCCACATGAGGGAGGTTAAAAATATGGAGATCTGAAGGAAAAAACAGGCTTATCCCCATATCCTCTGCTGGCAAGAAAATTGATTCTCTGCTGCTTACATAAGCTGTGCTGCAAAAATATTTTATCATTAATTTAGTATTTCTGTCTTCCAAAGCAGTAGTTCTGTTCTGTTCATTAATGGCCAGTGTTGAGCCCGTGACTTTCTGTTCAGTCACAGTGAAATGTTGTGGCAGGTGAAGACTGAGCAGGTTCTAGGTAAAACAGCAGTTTCTTATTCAGCTCACTGCTGATAGAACTTCTGGCTCTGGAGAACATGAGGAGTTAAATAATCTGATGGGCAACCTCCTATGAGTTGGATTCTAGGGGAGTCACTGGGTGGCAGAGAGGCGACACTATGCACATGACTTTTACAAACATCAGATTTTATAAAGAAAGAATGAGAAAAATGGGTGAGCTTTTTGTCTTGGGGCAGTGAGATCATGAGAGATGTCAGAAAAGCATGTTGTGCCTACACGTGAGAAACAGGAAAATGGGAAGTTTTTATGACCGAAGGGAAATAAATAGTGAATTAAATTTTTCCCCTATGCTTTAGTGAGACCCCACCTGGAATAGTGCTTCCAGCTCTGGGGTCCCCAGCACAAGGACATTGCCCTGTCGGAACAAGTGCCAGGGATGGACACCAGGATGATTAGAGGCAGGGAATACCTCTCACATGAGGGAAGGTTAAGAGAATTGGGATTGTTCAGTCTGGAAAAGAGAAGGATTTGGGTCTGTGGTCTTCCAGTTTTCCAGTACCTTAAATGAGCCTACAAAAACGATTGAGAGAAACTTTTTACATGGGTATATAGTGACAGGACAAGGGGGAATGACTTCAAAGTGAAAGCAAGTATGTTTAGATGAGGAATTATAAAGGAATTCTTTACTGTGGCAGTGGTGAGGTGTTGGAACAGGCTGCCCAGAGAAGCTGTGGATCATCCCTGACAGTGTTCAAAGCCAGGTGGGATTGAAGCAGCCTGGGATAGCTGAAGGTGTTCCTGCCCGTGGCAGTGCAGTTGAAACTAGATGCTCTTTAGGTCCCTTGCAACCCAAACCATTCTATGATTTTATGAAGTTAAACAAGGAAGGTATTTTAAAACTTGCGATCTTTTGAAAGCATCTAAGAATCGGCTCGACTTCCGTTTGTATGCAAGAAAGAGAGCTTGTTCCAGCCTGCTAATGCTGAATAGAAATGGAAAGCCGGCACAGGAGCGCCAGATGTAGAAAACCAGTTTGGGGCGCTGGGCTGCGGTGCAAGGCAGAAGCTGGCGACTCCTGAACACTTGCCATCTGCCTCGAGGGATGCCTGTGCTCTCCGAGTCTGGCAGGCGGGTGCCTGAGGTGTCTGGCCCAGCTCAGCTGCCGAGCCTGTCCCGTCCCACCTCCCGGCCCACACGCCATTCCCGGCGCGCTCGGGGCCGGCAGCGCCGCCTGGCCACAACGCGTCCAGCAGGGGGCGCGCGGGTCCCGGCGCTCCCGGCCAGGGTGGCGGGGCCGGGGCGGCGCGGAGCCCCCTCAGCGCCGCGTCACCGCCCCGTCACCGCCCGAGCCCGCTGCACCCCGCGGGCGATGGCGGCCGAGGCTCGGACGGGCTGGCTGGGGTCACCCCGTGCCCCCCACGGGGACTCTGTGTGGCTGCAGAGTGCTCTCGGAGCGATACACGGGGGAGAGGACAGCAGGAAAGGTCCCGGCCTTCTCCCGGAACCGTCCGTGTCCCCTCAGGCACGTGGCGGGGGACCGGCGATCCCGAGCCCTGCCTGCGCGCCCTCCGTGGCACACATCATTATTTTCCTTTTGCTGGAGGTAGCCCCCAGGCCTCCTGAGTTGACTTTGTTAATCCACTGCAGTTTCTGCGTTTTGGGTAATCCTCGGAGTGCTTCTCTTCTATGAACTTTTTGTGTGACTTTGCCGCATTGTGAAATTCCGGCTTTTGAGGTATCAGGGCACAAGTCCCGATATTTAGTAGCTTTCCAGTCTATCAGATCAGGACTTCTCTACCTCCAGGCAGGTGCTTGCAGCCCCTTGCAGGTGACTTTCATTCGGGTTGCACACCACGGGCCAGCATTTCTCGGTGTGTGCTACAAACACCTTGGATGATGAGCGGCTTGTCTCAAAGACTGACTTGGGCAGCTTGGAAAAAACGCAGACAACTAGATTTAACTCCATTTCATGCTCTCTGTCTTTTGATCAAGGTTACTCTTAGAATAAGATCTTTTCTGAAGTTGCACATGTGCTTTTTATATTCTTAGTAAAAGATCTAACGGGCTAACACTGTCCTCTTCTTCCTCCTTCCCAGAGAAGAACAGCATGGCTTTCCAGATGTATTTCTATTCCATGGCCTTTTAGCAATCCTTCCTAATGTTTTCTTATCACCTGTTCTCCACGTGGTCATAACAACAGATGAAATAAATGTACTGGGGACCAAAGACTGGTAATTTTTCCATAGTGTTTCTTTTAACTTTGTGTATTTTTTTCTCTGTTTCAGAATTTGGCTATATAAAAATGGACTTTTCATACGTGACCGCCATATTGTTAAATACATTCAACATTCTTGTGTGGACAAGGCCTTGGAGTCTCCTGTGCTGCTCTTTGTGGCAGCAGCTCTTATCTCTCTTAATTTAGTTTTTGTTTTCTTTGGAGAGCTTTCACTTTGTAGTGATGACATTTGCCTGAACAGTGCATCAGCTAATAAGGGAGAAATTGAGCTGTGCACAGGGGAAGGGACTGAGGAGTCTGCAGGGACCTCCACCCCCTTCATCCTGCCTGCTGCACTGCAGGCCACGTTTCTCACCCCATTTTACCCTAGGAACACAGCCCTGCCTGTTCCTGTTCCGCTCTGTCTGAGGGAGCTTACCTCCCTTTCTGGTGTTTTCCTTCAGGTAAACTTTGACTTCACCATGAGAGTCATTTTCTAAACCTTACGCAGTGTTCTTGAGCCGTTCTTGGATATCTGTTTTCCCCCTTTGTGGCTTCCAGAGAGTGTCCATGTGAGGACGGAGCATGGTCTGCGTGTGGAGGGACCCAGGGCAAGCAGGGATTGGTCAGCTGCAGCCTCAGGGGCCTTGGGAATTAAGGGTGCAAAGATTCCCTGAGTGCCAGAGGCACTGTGGGCTTCTGTGCTTCTTCCCATCCTCCTGCAGAACTTTCAGGGTTGCTTCTGGACTTGAGAGCAGTGAACTTAATGGAAGAGACAATGAAGGGATTTCAAACAGTAGAACTGTCTCCCTTGAAGGAATTTACAAGTCTTGTACACATAAACTCACTTTAAGGGTTTTCTGATGTAGTTCTGAAGTATGAGAATGTCTTCATGCTAATAACCTGAGTCAGTATATACATTCAGAAAAATATATTGAATTTTGGAGGCATTTTTAATAGCTGTAATATTTCTACCATATGTTCTGAGTTACCTCTCCTTGCAAAACCTCACAGTTAATTACTTCTTGGTTCCTAAGGCTTTAATTTACAAACCAAAAGGAAGAGTTTAAAAAAATCAACTAAAAATTATTAATAGATAAAATATGTCTATAGCAGTATGCTTTTTTTATCTTCTGAAACAATGGCAGATTCTTCATCAGCAACTTTATCTGTGAGAGTTTCGATTCATGGACTTGGATTTAGTCTTTGCAAAGGCCAGTATGGGCTTACTGAACAGAAAATCAAAAAATTTCAACTTTTGACTTAAAAACTGAAGTTTTCCACCCATTTCAGTTTCTTAGAGTCAAAGCCTGGTTGTGTTCTTGCTTAGGGGGTAATAGCAGACCAGATTATGTATCATTCAGATAATTTAATTAAAAAAATGTTCTGAGTAAGGATTGATTGTAAACTTCTACCATGTCCTAACAAAAATAAATTGTTGTATAGGACCTAAAATGGTCATAGTGTTGTGTGTTGTTAGAGCATTGTGGCTAGAAACTGTGTTATCTGTCGGGACATACATTCATTTCTATAATATTTAAAATAATACGTAATTTAGTAATGTAAATAGTCTTAAAGCATTTGTGATTTCTTCAATGAAAAACTAGGGGGGAAATAATGATTTTGGTTTTACTAAGTAGCTTGACTCCGGAATTCTCTTGTGTGAGGCTGATGCCATAGATGGATCTTTGGGCTGTGAGCAATTCCCTGTTTGGCCCTTCTTCCCCTGAGAAGCCAGCAAGTCAGTAAATGATACTCTGGAAAAGCCAGGTTCTGCAGATAAGAGCTTTCCTTAGGAAAAAACTTACTGAGGAATTGGCAGAGTTATCTCACAGTGCCAGGGGAAGGTACCATTTTTCCAGCAAGCAGGAAGAAGCTGTTTTAGGAAACTTCATCTTGAAAGCTTTTTAGAGCAGAAGGAAAGGTGGAAGGGGAGGAGACTGCCAGTGCAGGAGCTCTCCTTGTAATTCAGGGAATGAGGAGAAGAGCCATGAGCAGCTCCACTTGAAATTACTCAAAATATTCACTCTGTTCAGGTTGCCAGTGGTTCTCGGTGACTTTTGCATAATGCAGGCGGTATCCTTGTCTGTATCTCCATGGTCTGTTAAAGGCATTGCTCGTGTGCTGATCCTTAGGCTGGATGCAGGGAAAATGGGTTTCTTGAGAGAAGAATCTTACTCAGTTTTCTCCAGTTCTTTTCACGTGCTGGTTCCTTTCTGGCACCTCCGTTCCACGAGGTGGCACCGTTCCCGGGGAGAGGCTGCTCTGCTGCCTGGGGTCAGAGGGCTCAGGGATGCTGCCTGGCAGCACGCACTTCAGGAGCTTTCTGAAAATGCCTGTACTTTTCCACTGGTACATACAGTGTCTTTTTGGAGCTTCTTGACTGCTTTTTTTTTTTTTTTCCCCTTGTAGGTTTGTGGCATTTAGAGGAATCTTTTTGTGGCATGGAAGTTAAAACCGGGTGATGCTGAGCTAGAACGCTAGTTTACTTCATTTGGAGTCAAAATTTTGTGGCTTTTGAACATGGGAGGGAATGACCAATAGCTATCATTATTTCTAGGAAGGAAGGGAATCATTTCTATAGGTTTTTCCAGATCCACAGGAAACCAAGAACTGTAATGTCAACTTCCCTGTAAGAACACAAGCCAAATCCATGTTGTATAGAAAGAGAACAGTGCTGTTGCTCTTCCTGAATTCTCTGTGGAGACTTGTTATTCCATCTGGCCTCACTGATTTAAGAGTGCCTAAGTAGAGGGAATAAGTTTTCTTTAGTTAGGAGGTTTTCCTAGTTAGCTGCATTCTTGGTGGAAGTTGTTTTACCTCACAAGATTATGCTGTTTTAAAAAACATTCACAATTGAAAAGGGTTAATTTAATTAATTTCCTTTTTCTTGTTGACATCTAAGAAAATGGATGATGATGATGACGACATTCCCCAGCTTTCATCCCATACATTGGCTGCCCTCCAGGAGTTCTATTTGGAACAGCAGCAGAGAGAGGGCATGAAGACCTCCCAAGGGTTTAATCAATATTCCATTGGCTCAATAGAAGAAGACTGGGTAAGAAACTATAAATTTCAGTGAGTGAAGCACAGATAGAGGAGTAGCCCTGACGAAGTTTCTTTTGTGGCTGGATAATGAAATGAAATTAAATTAAAGAGGGAAACACTGAAGATGTTGCTATTAATGGATGGCAACACTGTAGGGAGATTTGCTTTAGTATTAAATCTGGATATAGTTGTTTGCTCCACATTTGCATGGGGGGTACAAACTGAAAGTACCTGGAGAGGGAATAAAGCTGCTAACAGAAGCATCTGTCCCTTGTGGAAATTTTAACTCCAGCCTGGCATGTGATAGTAGTGAAGACTTCCCTGAGTCTGAGACAGACATAGTGTAACAAGACCAAGTGATCTTTCCTTTCACTTTTTTTTTTTTTTTTTTTTTTTTTGTGTGTGTGTGTGTGTGTGTTTTATTTGTTTTATTTTTGTGGATGGCTGTTTTGCTGCTTGTTTTCATTTGTGACAGACTGATTTCTGATTTGTCTCTGGGCTGGGTTTTTTTGGTCTTCCTTTTTCTAATAGTTCTGATTTAGTTTTCTTATCCTTTTCTTTGTTCCTATACTGTCACTTTTCAAGGGCCTTTTTCCTTGTCTGCTGAAGGAACTCAATTTAAGAACACATAAATAATGTGCATCTGCACATTGGCTTTGAGATACCTTGTGAGTGGTTTGGATTTCTTGGTTTTCCTGATACTGCAGTTCATGCTTTGGAAACAGAGTGTAAGGTACCTGCTGCATATCACTAGATTACAGAAGCAGGAAGACTGTCAGGAAAACAGTCACCTTTCCAGCTTTACAGGTTGTGAACTGAGAAGTTGTTGTGGATTGTGGTTTTCTCCAGTTATGACTCACCACATGTAACTCTGCATAGCACAGCTAGACAATTTGATGTTGTTTGTAATTGTGCATTATCTTTCTCAGCAACTGAGCCAGTTTTGGTACAGTGATGAAACCGCATCATGCCTGGCTAAGGAAGCAGCTCTGGCAGCTGGAAAAGGTGGCAGGTAGGTTTAATAATTGTGTTGTAGATTTAACATGTCTCCTCTGCAAATATTTTGTTTCTGCTATGTAGACGAGAGCTTGCAGTTTTAATTCATTACTCATTGTACTTCAGTTTTGTTCAGCTGAGGTACTGCAGAACTGCTTTGATGTTATTTAGTTAATAGTTTATACTGGTGTTCCTCTTTGTCATTTCATTGAATGTTGTAGCCTGTGCCTTGTAAAAGTTTACTATAAATCTTTTAAATTTTTTGAGAAATACAAAGTGCTTCAGAGCACATTATTGACTTGTAATTATTTTCTTAGTTTTTATATTGTGTTTGTGTAGAACAGATGGAAGAAACTTGGTTTTCTTCCTACTTCTGTAAACAGTAATTTTTCATTTTTGAGTGTACTTCCTTGCTTTTCTGAAACAAGACTTTCTCTGTAGTTAAGCTTAAGATCTTTGTGTATCATGGGGCTGAACAGGTAATGACTTTCATACTTAAAACTTTGTTACTAAGGTAGTTAATTGCTAGAATGGAGTAAGAATACTTCACATTTTTGGGACCAATGTTTAAAATGTTTTCCCAAAGCCTCTCTGAGGACTGCTGTAGAGTTTTGTTGCTGTTGTTTGCCTTTTAAAATTACAATTTTAAGTTATTGTGTGTTTTTTCAGGATAGCATGCATTAGTGCACCGAGTGTGTACCAGAAACTGAAAGAACAGGATGGTGAGGATTTTTCCGTGTGTATACTGGAATATGACAGAAGGTTTTCTGTGTATGGAGAAGAGTTTATCTTCTATGATTACAACCACCCTTTGGACTTGCCTGAAAATCTCCTGCCACACAGTTTTGATATCGTAATAGCAGATCCACCCTATCTGTCTGAGGAATGTCTTCAAAAGACTGCAGAGACCATCAAATACCTAACCAAAGGAAAGATTCTGCTTTGCACAGGTATAACTAATAAAAATATTAGGTCCCCTTAAGTAGCTTTTTTCTCTCTTTCTAATGACAAACTTACATGAGACAAATACTAACTCAATAATGCTGAATTATCATCAATTTAAGGAGGAATATGTATCCTAAGCTTTTTATTTGAGTGCTTGAGTTTAACCTATATTTTAAACAGAAGTGGGTTTTAATAGTTTTTTCCTATGGTATTATGAATTCTAATAAATTTTTGAGGAATTATAAGATCATCCAGCAAAATTCCAGAAATATATTTTTTCTTGTAGAAGCCACTCTCTATAGTTGCAGTGATTGAAATCTGGGAATGGCAAACATAGGTGCAAGTTTTGTTTATGTCTTAGGCACTGAAATACAGCAAGAGGAATTAAAAAGCAGTGATAAAAACAAAACTCATATAACTAGATATCTGTACTTGTGGGTCCTTCTTTAGGAAGGTGCACTTGCTGTTTTCGTAAGTGATGTGTGTCTACCCAAGTCATGGCTTTTTTTAAACTTATTGTTTTGTTATTACTGTATTACTGTTAATACAGTATTGTTATTACTGTATTGTTGTCTGAAGAGATCCAGGAAACCTTTCCAAAAAGCAAAGGTCAAAACCCCTCTGTATGTACAATTTGAGGGAAGGCAACCAAGCAGGCAAAATAAAGAAAAATTAAAAGAAAGTGGCCTGCTCCTTGGTTTAAGTGCACTTGGCAGTCACAAAAAGGGTGGTTCTCAGAAGCTTTTCCCTAGAATGGATAAGTGGTCCTTCAGTTTACTGCTCAAAGCAGAGATTTCTCGCTGTGTAGCTGCAAATATCACTCCATGGTTTATGTAAGTGAAAGAGTAGATGTAATCTGTTTGCATTTCCCATGGCTCCCTACCATTTAACTTCCTTGGAATGTAGCAAGAAGACTGAGTTCAAGTTTGGTTTGTGTAAAAACAGCACTGATACCCTCTACTTTTTTGTATGAAATTTCTTGGGTATTCATTTCTTTGGGATGTCTTCCATTCTTCTAGATTTACTTTAAGTTTCCCAACAGATTCTGTTGTTACGGAAGGCTGAGAGTGTAGTAGCTTTAAGCCTGCCTTCCTTAAAAAAAACCAGGCTCTCTAAGTATGTATTTGGGAGGAGCTGTTTAAAAAGTGCAAACATTCTGTTACTGTTTTTTCTTACTGAATACCAGTTATTTTTGCTGCAGGTGCAGTCATGGAGGAACAGGCAGCAAAGCATCTTGGTGTGAAGATGTGCAAGTTTATTCCAAAACACTCACGAAATTTAGCCAATGAATTTCGATGCTATGTGAACTATGCTTCTGGACTGGACTGATTCTCCTGCGGTCATCTGCAAATCTACAACTTTTTCAGTCAAGCTTCTTTCTGTTTACTGCCAGTTATGCCACATTTCTCAGGGCTGAAATAGTCAGCTCTGAGTACTGTTTTCTGGGATGGCTGGAATCAACACAGTGTGATAGCCTCTCTCTTTTAAATGAGTAAGCATTTCCAGTTACTGTGTTTTATATTAGGTAAATGCAGACCAAGCAATGCAGGTGCTGGATAATGGAAACATCTTTGTTAGAGTTTCATATTAACTGGTAGCTTTTACCATTTGAGGACACATCAGTGACCTATTTGAAGTGATTGTAGCTTATAACAACATATAGGTGTTTGCCTTGCAGGCATCAGAATCGTCATTGCCAAAGAATGTGATACTTCTGTAGTAATGTGACCCACACATGTCCCTTAAATCTTGAATCATAATGGCTCTGATTAAATATAATGCTTACTTTTTAATAATTTCAATATCAAACTAAAGAGGATCTACAGATGTGTAAAGTTACAAGAATGGTTATGATTTTTTTTTCCAGTTGTCTGGTTTTGTCTTTTTCTCCTGACACACAGACAGCATCCAGAGCAGTAGAATAGAAGCATCTTAAAAATCATTGAATCTTACAAGGCCACTGAGGAATAACATATTGATAAACTCCCACTGTTTCAAATAGAAAAATGTTAGATTTTGTATTCAAGGTTTGGACTATATTGCAGTCAAAATAGATGATACATTGGAAAAGCTTTGCTTTGCATAAGTAGAGATTTTTGATAACTGAGAATTTTAAAGCCAGTTTTGACTAACCTTTTGACTACACTACTGAAGTATTTTTGGGTGGAAATTAGTTCATAAATTTCAAGGCACTCAACACTTTTATAATCTCTAAAAGCATTCTACAAAACACAAGCACTTGTCTTTGTATGTCGTACTGTGTAAAGGTTAACAGAAATGCTGCATCTACAAAATGAATCACATAAAATCAAGTCCATGTAGTGTTCCTGGGTTCCATGGTAACAGCTTCCTCTTTCACACGCCTTGGTTTCAGGCTGGTCACAGGTGTTGTAAAAACACGGGAAGTGCAGCGAGGAAGCGCTCGCAGGGAGAACAGGCACAGGCCTCGGCTTTCTGCTGAGTGAGCCCAGGGCCCATACAGTCTTGCCTTTCAAACCAGATGCCATCCTTGCTGCTGAGCCAGAATTGCCCTGAAAATGACTGTCCACAGGTGAAGTGCACCTGGGTTTAGTTGTTTTCTGGGAGGTTACATCATCGCAGTTTGAAAATAAAGCAAACCAGAATGGTAACTGCGTAGCTCTTGGCACTAACCGGTACTTTAAACTGGTTTATTACCTCAGTGTCTTCGCTCCAAGCACATGGAGACAATGAAGTAACTCATGAAACTTCATTTTTAACTGCGTGGAGGCTTCAGGTGGGACATGTATGATTGCCAGAAGGGATGATGCTGTTCCCCTGCCACCCACCTAAATTAGAATGTGCTGTTCAAATCAAAGCCTCACCTATTTTGCTGCTTTGTTCGCTTCACTTTGGTAAATTTGTATTATTGGGTGTTCCATAGCAGAGTTAAAAGTCAACTTCATTAACTTCATCAGAGATATTTCTTAAAAAGATAAAAGTGCACCATTAAGTTGTACCAAGAAGTTCCTTCCAAGAAAATCACTGCTGCTTCTCACATGTAGGTCAGACTGCTTTGAAAAGGGGCTCTGTGAAGATGCATAGTTACGGAACTGAGGGTGCATGAAAATCTGTGCAGATGCACTCAACAGAGCAGCCCGTTGTCCACCAGCTTCCCTCTTAAAAGCCTGGGGAGTGCAGGCAGCTGCCCAAGCAGAGCTTGACTAGTGGCATTTACAGCCTCCATCAGTGATGGGTGGTAAACTATTTTTGTCTAAACTTGATTCCAAGGAAGTAGATGTTTCTGAGAAGGGTACAAGTCACAAAAATCCATAGTGAGTTTGTGTTTTGTGCCAGCGTGGTAACTTTAAGAAATAGTATGTGACAGACAGACAGTCTGTCTTCTGTCTTCTGTAACAGGATTGTGAATAAAAATGTCAGTGTCAAGTAGTGACTGACTCCCGGGGCTGTCTCATGGATGGACTTGCTGTTGGAACAGACTGTGGTGAAGTGTCAGCACCATGCTCCTTTTCCAATGGCATTTATGACTGCACAGTCATATGTGCTACAGCCTCTTTAACTAGCCCAGTCCAGGCAGTTATGGCTGTTCCCTCATCCCAGCAGGATTAATGGGTGTTTATACTTTCTGAGCATATCACAGCCTTTTCCCCTTTTCCTCCTGCTGCTTTCATGTTCATGTTCCCCCATGCAATTCCATGTTTATGTGTAGCTGTAGATCTTCACCTTTTCAGACAGACACCTTCAGGTCATGACTGGCAAGTAAACCCAAACTAGCATCTCAGTCTTTCCTCAGCCTTCCTGAATGATAGGAATTTTCCAAACTACCTTAAGCGATACTATAGACAAGAAAATAATCTCATTACCAAGGATATTGTTCTGTGTTTTGTGGCTCCTAATGTATTCCAGGGACAACCTTGTTGAAGGAAAAGATTTTCCTGGCACAACAAAAAATTTTCTCAAATCAGCTGCAGCTGCCAGATACTTCTAGCTTTGAATTGTTTGCATTTATTGGGCCTGGAGTTGGTTCAGTGAGGCATTTCATGTCTTCCTTCTGTCAACAGTTTGTGAAGCCTTGAAGCAACTCCAAAGAACACTCCCTCCCCCATGCAAATTAAAGGCAAGGCTGTGGCAGCTGTAACCAGAGGGCTGGAAGCTGGAAAATGTCACACCACATTTGAAGTGAAACTGATATAAATCCATGATGTGATGACCTCGCTGAAAAAAAACAATTCCAAACAAATGCAAACTACATTTAACACTCAACCTTTCCCACATGAGTAATGTGGAGAGACAGGATATGTGGAAGGATATTTTGAAGGCCAGCAAGTGTTTGTGTAGCTAATAGCTCTTGATGTTAAGTATTAACAAACAGTTGCTCACTAACAAAATATCAAACAGTTGCTCGTGCTAAAACATAAACAGCTTTTAAGAGACACCTAACTGGAAAGCTGGATCAGGAAGCAAATTGGCTCAGCTAAAAGTCTGTCATAGAGGAAAAGGAGGATTAAGAAGGGAAAATGGGCTTCTGAACAAAATAGCATAAAGATGCCTGAACCATGGGAAGCTTGCTGCCCTTGTTGCAGTGTGACGAGAAGGAGTCACCAGCACAAGCGCTCCATTGATCCATGGAGGTTTTGCAGTTCTCAAGTGCTTTCAGTCATCCCATTTCTGAAGCTTTCATTTCTGAAGCATCTACTTTTCTGGAGTGGAGAAACTGATTATGTTCCATTTATGAGATTTTAGTTTGTGTCTCACAGGAATTCCCTGAATTCCCTGAATATGCTCTAGTTACTTGAGAACCTCAAAATGACTCCATAATTTATGTCTGGAGGACAAGAGAGTTGCAAAAAAAAAAAAAAGAGATTTTTTTTTCTCCGCATCATGCAAATATATATCCATGTGCTTTAATAACTAATTTGTTGCAGACAAATTTGTATAACAAAAGTGTGTGGGCAGACAATGAGTTCTGCTGGAGGGCAGTGTTTGGCCAGACTTAGCTGGTAGCCCCTCTGGGTATCTACTAAATGTCAAGTGCTGCATGGTTGGACATTTTGCTGTTGTTGTTTGGGGTCATTTTATTGCCTGTTAGGGTGAAGACTTTGCTTTCTATGCCCTGGAGTCTGAAGGGTCAACTTCACACTGCCATAAGTGTATATGTGGAGAAAACCTCACAATCTAATGGTGAAACCAAAGGGATCAAGCTACTGAAACATCACCTAGTGCAGTGTTTCTCCAGTTTTGTAGGTCAGCCTCCTTTTTGAGTCCCTCTGATTACCATTTCCTTCTGCTCAGAGGGTGAGAAGTTCCTCCACATTAGGAGGAAGGAAAAGAGGTTGTAAGTGCTGCAAGTGTTTTCATTCTCTGGGGAAAAGGTAACTACCCATAATTGCTGGCAGCAGCCAGGCAATTAGCTGTTCTCTGAGTAGTATAAACATTTTATGACCATCTCTGAGCTCCCCTTTGAGAATCTCCTTGAGATAGAAGCATCACAATCGGAGGAAACGCACATCTAAAGACAAGGAGAATTGAGGAAAAGCATCTGCACAAAAAAACACAGCTACAACCTTCAATCTGACATTGTGATGGGAATCTTTATTAGTTTCTGGAGTTCTTAAAGTTATTTTAGGCTTTGTAAGAGGTTTCACAGATTGCACTGGAAAAATACTGTTATGCTAGACTGAGTCAGAGACAGCACAATCAATAATGATGCACCAAGACATGGAGTTGTCATGACTTTCATTCTGTCTTCAACTTGTTGTGATTAGCTCATAGTCTTTCCATTCTTCATCCAACAACACTCCAAAGAAGAGTGTGTTTATGTAGTGTAGGGGCTTTCTCTGCTATGAATTAAGGCAAATTTCAAGATTCATTATGTAGATACATTGCTGCATATGATGTTTATTCTGTAAAGATATTGCAGTCATGATCCTCTATCTGTAAAAGAGATTCTCTGCTGTGCATTCAGAGGTTTATCCGTTTGGCGAGTGTGGCCCTCTGAGGAATTCTGTTTGTGCAAGACATGCCTGGTCATTGCTGATTCTCATTCACTAGGCTGAGTCAACTTTAGTCTCTTGTTCTGGAAATGCAAGTTTTTGTGTGTGCAGGGTTTCTGGTGAGGCCTGCCATCAAGTTCCATCAGCAGCAGGCTGCACAGATGGAAGGCTGCCCGGTCAGCTTTTGCAGGTGATGATCGTCTGTTACATGCAGCATAAGGAGAAATGAGTAACAGTAATTGTCAAAATCAGGTGGATTTAACAAGTTTGGATTGACTGGGACTCAACTCGATGACCTCTTGTAGGATCTGGAAGTTAAGATCTAGCCTGCTTACTCACCTGCAGTGCACCTGAGGTGAAGCCAATCCTTGGTACTTACTTTTTAATGGGGAATCTCCTCTCCTAAAATGAGAAAGGTTTTGGCCTTTCAGCTGCATGGAACACAGTTTTATCACAAGGAAATTAAGTAGTCAGTGATGGATGAAATCAAATACAGAATTCTTAGGACCCAAACTGTGTTTTTCCTAATTGATATTTTCTGTGTAATTAGACATAGTCCACATCAAGAAAGTCTGCTGCATTTTTACAATATTCTATTATGTTTTTTCTCAACACCTTTGTACCCTTAGCAATTTGGCAAGTTTAAAAATAGCAAGCACATAGAATATTGCTTCATGAATGACTCCAACTCAGCAAAAGTTTCCTTGCTGTAGTGTATAAATTAGCCAAAGAGGTAACAGCTCAGAGGCAAAGCTTGGAGCTTGTGCAGTATAAAGGGAGGCTCTCCCAGCCTGAGAAATTATCCTTTTAATTGCTGATTTGTCACATGTATGGCAGTTGTGTGATTTTTCTACGAGTGTACTTAAAAGTAGAATATAAGAGATTCCTCAAAAATATCTACAACCCATAGCCTGCTATAGTAATAGCTACCATGTCTTACAGTTGCATCATCTTCTAAAATTTACTGTGAATAAGCAAAGATAAAATGTTCTGCTCTAAGGAAAAAAAAAAAAAAAGCTACTTTGGAGTTTGCAATAATGAACTAAAGAAGTTTACACGAGCTAAAGAAATTGAATTAATTGCCATCTCTAATGATCTGAGTGACTGGACTTTCCATTTTATATCTGAAATATCTGCAAGCAGAAAAAGAGGGTGAGTGAGAGTGTTTGCTGCTGCAGTGCAGTTTCCTGAGGTGGTGAGGTGATGATATGAGGCCAGTGCCGAAACATGACTTTTAATACATTCTTCATTCCGATGAGGGCTTGTTCTGGCCCACCAGCAACTTCACTTCTTGCTTATCTATGCTGGAATTGACGCTCTCTGCCTCCTTTTCCTGCTCGGGGACGCAGGTGCAGCCCACGGGGATGGTGATGTAGTCCTCGGTGTAGACGTAGCGGCCCCCGGCGCAGGCGGGCGTGCGGCGCAGGATGACGGTGGGCATGAACACCGGGGTGCTGCGGAAGTGCAAGCTCTCCTCGCCAAAGATCCCCATCAGGCAGCCTTTGCACAGGCAGTAGGCTTCGGGAATGTACTTAGGGTATCTCGTGGGATCATAGGAGATCCTAGAGGGAAGCAAATAAAGATTAATTCCAGGTGTTTTCATCTTGAATTGTGTAATCTTACATGTTATTATAATTATTATATCATTATAATAATGATATCATGTTTTTGTTGTCTTCACCAGGAAAAATAGCTGTAGCTGTTGCTGTCTGGCTTCTAATTTGTAAAGTGTAAAGAAAAAAACATGAACAGGTTACAGAACTGATTGGGTCCTGCAGTGCACAGGGAAGTATGAAGTGTCTGGCTTTCTGAATTATGAGATTCAAAGGTTTAAAGAGAATGAGTTTTGCATTTTGGACCAAATGGTTAAACAGAGCATTAAAAAGGGCACTTGTGCATTTCTAAACTTATCTGCCTGAGTTCTCCAAAAACTGGTACAAATCCTTGTTAACATTATTATTGTTAAAGCCATGACAAGATGTTTTAAAATTTAGTAATTTAAATAGAATTGAATTGTACAATTATTTCTGCAATAGGTTTTTCTTCCTAGTAGATTTGGGGTCATAAATGTGCCTTCCCCTTGAAAGCAGAACTCTGTATCGCTTTTTCTAATTCATGTCTACTGTATCTTCCTCTAACCATAGAAGAGCAACATTTTCATGTCCACCCTGAGATAAACTGGATGAGGCATCCACAGCTTCCCTAGGCAGTGTCTCACCACCCTCACTTCTTAATTCTTCCCAGTATCTGATCTAAACCTGCCATCTTCCAGTTTAAAGCCATTATTCCTTGTCCTATCACTCCATGCCCTTGTGAAGAGTCCTTCTCCAGCTCTCTTATAGGCCCCCTTGAGATACTGAAAGGTTCAGCCTGTCTTTATAGGAGAGGTTCTCCATCCCTTTGAGTGTTTTCATGGCCTTCTCTGGACTCACTTTAACAGGTCCACGTCCTTCTTGTGTTGTGGTCCCAGAGCTGGATGCAGTCCTCCAGGTGGGATCTCTTAATAGATCTTAAAGTGATCTTAAATCTTAATAGATTTAAAGCAATTTCTAAATTGTGTTGCTCAGGGTTGGCAGTACTTCTTTGGGCATCAAAGTGTTCACCTTTTATCTCTTCAGGCTGTGTCTGAGACAAGAAGAGGTTTCAGGTTTGGAAGAGGCAGAACCCTAAGTCTGCCTCAAGCTGTGACTGCAGTCACTGCTAGTCAACAAAATCTGTCCTTGTGAGAACAGGCAGCCTGGCTGTCTCTCTCACACCCACCCCTGGGTTGACACTGATGTTTTTCTGGTCACAGGATTGATCAAGGAACTCATTCAGCTGAGGAGTAACTCCATCAAAAGCTGGGGCTTGGTCTGTCAGCTGTCTTGCTACACGTACGCAGAGCTCTGCACCAACCAGCCAGAGTGAACAAGCAGCTTAGGCAGGACAGAAGGGAGCTGCCTTTTTCGGAAGTATTGCCAGTTTATCTGGTTAAAGGAAATCTGGAATCACAGCTTTTGCCAAACACAAACTTGGTTATCCTGTCATCAAGGAAAATAACTTTTAAGTTAATTTATATAGATATAAAAGAATTTATTTTCCTCACAAAAAAATCTGACCAGTTCTCTAACAGCCAGACACCTGTGATGTTGCAGATATTTTTTGCAGTGCTTCTCTGTCCCATTTATACTCGGTTTCTTTCCCCAGGAAATACCTTCATGTTACAGGATCTCACACCAGTGTGGAATAAAATGTCTGGTAGCCAGCAGAAGGGAATAAAGGGGAACACAGGCCTTTCTACTGTGATACATTCCCATTTCAAACTCAAGTGTGAGTAATTGCAGTGGTGGATTGTTAAACACACCATGTGTCAAGTTATTGGTATTTCCTCTACTGTATTATCTCTAGCACCTGGTTTATGATGTTACTGGAAAGCATGAACATGCTTCTGCATGCAAACATATAAAGAGGTTTCACTGATAACAGGAGAACACTGTCACTGGAATCATGGTCTACAACCACCTTTCTCCTCCAAATTCCCAAGTGGAAAAAGTCAGGTATTAATGGGGTGGGTATTTTGAAATATGGTGTGGTTGTGGCATGGTTTTCTACTTTCCAAGGGAAAAAATCTCTTATATTACTAAGTTCAATGTTAATACATCATATCAGGACTGGAAGGAATCAGAGAGAATCCAAACTTAATGATGGATTCAAAATATGGATGTGGTTTTGTATCCAGACCAGAACTTCAAGGCTGAAGCCTCTAAGTAATGCCTCCTGAAATTAATACCTTAACTCAAATGTCACAAAAATTTGGAGCCATATACAAGGTTCTGCATCTTCAGCTCAAACCTGTTCAGAAAAGCTGTATAAATAAAACCTGATTTGTGTCTTTCTAGGCAACCCAGACCTGCTTGGGTCAGAGCCACTAAGAAGCACCAGCCGCTACAAGTCAGGTTTTAACATCTTCTCCTGGAAGAGGGTTCATTTTTGATCAGATTAATTAACCAGGTAAAAATGCATCTTCCAAGTTCCTGCTATGTCTTTCCTCTCACCCAAGAGATGGATGGAGCTGGGAAGGGTGCTGGAGAACCAGAGAAGTGCAACTTTCCCTTGGTACTCAAGTGTCCCCTGCAGCCTTGTGTCACTTGCTGTGGCCATTGCTGCAAACCAGACAGCCCAGACCCTTTGCTGAGGATTGTCTGTGTCCTGCGAGCTCAGGTCACCACCGTGGAAGGCTGAGTCTGCCCCGCCAGCACTGCTCGTTCACAAGTGACAGGAGCAGTGAGCTGTGCCGAGCTGCTCTGCTCCCATCTGCTGGAACAAGAAGCAGGTTTGTGCTGAACTGGAACTGCTAATGAAGTGTGACTCGGCTGCTTTTCCTTATGACCCTACGAGTGCTTCGGGAGCTCCCAGTGAAAAACAAACTTCCTGCCATTTACCTACTAAGCCTGGAAACTCAAAAAACTGTCAGAAGTAAAACTCTTGCAGAGACTTAATCTGCCTTCTCCTGTACTGCTACTTTTATAAGTAGTATTTTTAATAATATTGTCACTTTGTAATTTCCAAGCTTCTGATTCCAGAGGGTCAGATGCTGTGCTGGGGCAGGGAGCCGACTCTTCAGAAAATCACTGTTAGCACTGGGCTAACAGCTGGATGTTATCAAAAGTCTAATAAGCAGATCATCATCCCCTTCCTTCACACTCTGAAATACTTACAGGATTAAGAGCTAACAGCTTTTTCCCTCCCTTGCCAAGACATTTATTTCCCTGTAGCAGGTGTTCTTTTGTTCATGTAATGCTTTATTTTATCTACAGGCAGCAACAGAGGTATTACTCCTATAGGTAGCACAGTGCCTGCACAGAAGTAGCCCAGTGCTAACTGATTTTCTGAAGAGTTGTACAAATGTGCTCAACTAAAAAGGATGGCAGGTCTGCATCCCCTTGCATTCTTTCCCTTGGCTGCATCTTTGGGACATGCACACCATGCTACATGGTAATGTTAAATCCTGGAAAATGCCTTGGATAAGCTTCTAGAAAATCACTGGAGTATTACTTGAAGGAAAGCCCTCCTGTATGACTTTGTCCAAACACACTGCAGACAAGCTTGGCTTTTACCAGTGAAAAATGACTTGCCTGTATTACTTTTATTAAGAATTTATGTAAATGAGCACTAAACCAATGATGCTTATAAATAAAACTGATTTTTGGAAAACAGAAAAAACAAGCTGGGCAATGTTTGAGAAAGGGACTGGCTAACTTGGCTAACATCATCAGAGCATCACTGACAATCAAAGTTAAATCTCTGCAAATTAACCATTAGCAGATGCAGGATTAGTCCCCAGAGGCAGAAACAAAAGCCACAGGATTTGGAAATTCAGAAACCTGAATGACTTCTTGAATACACATACAGAAATTTTTGCTGAACTCACATAGAAGTGTGTTTGCAAACTGGTAATGATTGTTATTGTAGCCTTAAGACATCAGAAAATAAAAATAAAGCTGATACATAGAGCTGGTTAATGAATGTCATCTGTGCTCTGCAGCACCATGAATGGAATCACAAATCAGCACTACCTGTAAAAGTGCTGCTGACTTCAGCAGAATCAGATTTTTGAACATTTGCTGTGAGCTTTATGATCAGACCCCCACAAAAGTTTAGGCAGACATTTAGAATTAATTCTTTGATGATTCACCTAATGATTCACCATGATTGTGGCTTCTGTAAATGTTAACAAGAGCACCCATCCTGTGCTGTCAGCAGGGTCTGCAGGTCCGTCCATATCATTAATTCTTGTTAAGCAGCTCTGACCCATGGCAGTAGCCAAGTGGCCCATGCCAGAACCTCCTTGTACAAGCAGGCTTTCTGGATTCCACTGACTGTCCATGTAATACTGCTAAAAAGGACAAGCAACCCCTGGATAGGTGTCACAAGCTGGCACACAGTCAGCCTGATGATTTCATGGAAGGATGATTTCATGGCAGAACTTCTGCTGCTGGCTCTATTTTTTTTAAAAAAGCTGGGTAATTTGTAGCCCAACTTCCTGAACTGCTGAGCAAATCCAGCGTGCTCAACTGACTTCAGGGAACTCTGCTGTCTCTTTATAGCTCTGCAGAGCAAAGAGCGATTCACGTGATTAAACTCTGTGCCCTGAGTTATATACTGATCTCCTGTGGCCACCAGGATGGAATTTCAGTATCAGACACATGAACAAGTATTTTTCCCCTAACATTTGCCTTAAATACCACCTGTTGATTGCTGCTAGCATCAGAGTTGGGAACCAGATGGATCTGAGGTGCAATCCATGTATCTCTAGCTTGCAGTAAGCCAAAAGTGATGTAAATCTTTATTTTTGTATAACCAAATTAAAAGACCAAGTAATGGAAAATAAATAGCAAGCACAGAGCAAAGACAAGCAAAGAAGCCACAGAAGGATTATTTGAGCTTTGAGCCAGTCAAACCTAATTCTCTCACACTTAAACAGAATGACAGGCTTGGGATACAGATGATGCAGTAGAGTCAACAATATACACAGTTCTCTAAGTAATATATTTGATTCTTTCTCATAAATGCTGATATGAAAAAATTCCAGTTGACTTGGACTAAACAGTCATGTGAACAGAAGAATTACAAGAAGCAGTGTTAAACAGCTGGGAGCAGGTGCCTGGGGAGATATTCAGGGGAAGGTAAGTAGAGCCAGACTTAATATCTTTATTATTAATGACCTGGAATAGGGAGTATAAACAGTATGTTAATGAAATCTGCAGATGGTAACAATGGGAAATGCTGCAACGCCAATGAAGACAGAGAAACAGCATGAGGTATCTCAAGCATTAAAATGCATGTCAAAAAGAAAAAAGAGCCTTTATGCACAGAGCAGAAATGAACTGCACTGTAAGTCTTTAGGCGCAGAAAAGAAGCCGGAGAGCAGGATGTCTGTGAGACGCTGGAACGGGACAGGCACCTTGATGAAAATTTCAAGCAGTCAAATTCAGCCTTTGAGCAGTTTCCTATCAGGATGTACAAGAGGGGTGTGCCTACAGTGAATTTATTTATGAGCATTCACCACTAGAACAACTTTGGTGATTCAGAAGGCAGTTCAGGAGACAGCAATGAATCTGTGAAGGGGAGCAATTTACGAGGGAAAATAATTAAATGCAAATAGGCTTGTCAAGAAAGTGCTGTATGGAAGAGAGCTCTGTGCAGCTTTTCAGATTAACACTCCAGCCATGGAGAAGAAATTGTTGGGATTGTATAAGTGAAATTGGTTAACCATTGACAAAGCATAATGGGACATTACTTGCAGTCTTTAATGGAGAGCTGTGTGTCCCTCTCAAAGACATGGAGTAACTCTAATAGGATTAAGGAGCTTCCAGGGTACCAAGGTGAAGACCACAGAACAAAACAAATATTCATATCTAGCTTCAAAATCTGTGAGATAGCAGGTGGTAATAGCTAATGCACTTTAGCAGTCTTATATTTCACACTTTAATTACACATCTTGAGTATCTGTTTCTGTCTCATTGCAGTAAAAATGCAGAGAAACATTTTCCCCTCTAAATATAATTTTAGATTTTGCTTTTAATGGTGTAATACTTCTTCCCTGCTATCTCTTAAAATTCCTAGCTTGGAGATGTCATCAAGTTACTTGTATGTGAATGGTTAGTGGTCTGTCTGAAAACACTTGGATCAAAAGTACAGCGGATTTACTTTTGTAAGCCAAGCCCCAAAAAGCAGCTGGTTCTCCATTAAAAAGTAAGCCTATACAGAGCTCCAACTGCAAATAGATACCTGCCCAATGAGACATAAGGACAAAGGTATTGTTTTCAAACCAGAGGAACAATTTTCTGATAGCATTAGTAATTTGCAAAACCACTGTAAAAAAATACCTGAGCCCAATGGTAGGTGTTTTGCTCATGATATTTGCTTTGTGCACTCTTAGGTAGCTTAAAAATCCTCAGTTTTCTTAGAGAAAATGTATTGCTAAAAATACTTTGCTTATGAAAGGCTTACTGAGCAAATAAACCATCTTTCTCTCAGTAGGATTACTTCTTACACTAAAAGCGAGTAAAGCCCATGCCATAAAATAAATATTTATTGGAGAGCCTAACAAGGAGATAACTGTTTGCTGAATACACAGGAACTGCATCAAAGTATATACCAGGGATAATGTATAAAGAGTAGCAAGAAAGTCAGTTCCTTTTAAGTTTGCACGTTTTAGCTTCCTGTTGTCTGCAGTCCTTTACAGAAAACTGTAAACAGAACTCAGTCTTGTTCAAACCACCAGAAGGCTTCATAGTCTTCTGGGAATGTGATCACACACTGGGGTTTAGTGTACTAGATCACTGGTTTCCAAGTTTTCCACAGCTTCCTATAGAAATGCAGGCCCTTGTTTTGCTTATTAACCTGCCTCACAACAAACTTACTTTACTTAGTTGTTTTTATGCCCCCTAAAAATAGTCTGTCAGCCCGTTTCCACCTCAGGGGAAGGAGGTTTGCAAAGCATACGTTGAAAACACAGGTGTAGAATACTGCTGCACTCATCCCTTGCCTACGCTCCTACAGCAAAGGGGACATCGAGCCCTTGGGAGTGTTTGGTGGGTGGCAGGAACACAGACTGTACCCTGAACTATTTTAGAAACAGCGGAGCGTCTGGAGTCACATTTTGGGGAAAGCGTCTGAGCCTCTCTGTGGCTGCTGCAGAGTCAAGAGGTGCCTCTTTGGTGGTGTTCCTTTGCTGAGGGTCTTGTGATTGTCACATATGACAATTTGCCCAAGTGACTTTTTGAGAGTGGTCTGTGCTCCCGGGTGGGTGTGGATGTGGGTGTGAGCTCCATCTCACGGCTTGCTCCACCTCATTCATTTCTCTTTTTGCCCATTAGACATATTCCTCACACAAGCAGTTTATACATAATTACCTTATATCTCTTACTCAGACGTGTGTTTTAGCACCTTTCCTGGCTGCTGCCCGGTGCCGCGGCCGCCCTTCTCCTCCCGAGCCGCCCCGGCACGGCGCGCAAAGCCGGCGGAGCCCGGCGCTGCCGGTGCCGCACGGGGACCCCGCCTCGGCTCCCTCAGCCCGCCGGGCCCCTGAGGCGGCCGCACCTCCCTTCCCCGGCGCCCGGAGTCACCTGTATGCCCAGGGCGATGCGCTGCGCAGGTTGACGGGGAGCCGGACCCTCTTGTCGGCGGGCGGCCGTGCCCCGGCGGGGCAGCTGGCGTTGTGCTGGCGGCCCGGCGGCTCGGGCTGCAGGGTGTGGTGGAAGGCGCTGAGCATGCCCGCCGCCAGCCGCCCGTACAGCTGCTCCAGCAGCTCCTCGGGCCGCTCGCCGCAGCTCCGGGTCCGCGCCGGCCGCTGCTTGGGCGCCCTGGCGGCCTCCGGGCGGAGCGGGAGCAGCGCGGCGCAGAGCAGCGCCAGCAGCGCCGCCAGCGCCGCCCGCACCTGCAACGACGCCGCCGTCAGCGGGGATGGGGACACCGGGGACACCGCGCCCGCCCGCCCGCCACCGCCCGCGCCCCGCAGCCCCCGGCCCGCAGCCCCTTACCCTGCCTCGCTGCATGGCGCCCGGGCTGCTTCTCCTCCAGGGAGCCGGGGAGAGCGGCGGGCTGCGGCGCCTCGCCGTGCCACTGGCTCTCCCGGCGGAGGAGCTGTTGGAAAAGTGCCCCGCGCCTCACTGCATCTCCCCTGGCCTCGCCTGCCAGGAACATGTTCGGCGGCGCTCACGGCGGCGAGCGCCGGGCGCGGGCCGGTCCCGCATCCCAGCGCTGCCCGCGGCCCCGGGGACACCCCCCGGGCACGGACGGATCCGGCCCACCCCGCCGAGACACCGGCCCGGCGCGCCCCGCAAGGCCGGGGCTGCCGTCGGGAGCCCCGCTCTCCCTCCCACCGCACCGGCGGCACGGGCAGGAGCCGGGCTGTCCCCAACCCCGCCGGGATACTCGGCATCCAGTGGCACCTTCTGGGCCAGGGCTCGAGACTGAGGCAGAGCCAGGGGGATTTGGCCCAGTAGGAGCCAAAGTGTCAAGGCTGATGTGAAAAAGTGTGGGGATTTACAGCTAGGGAAGGGACTGCTCTAGCCTGGATTCTCTCAGTTCCTTTAGGGCAGTTGGCACTGTCCCTCGTTAGGGTTTGGGATTTCCAACTTACCCGATTCCAGGTAGCATCTCTGGCACGTTTCTCCATCCCAGCTGTGCCGTTTCTCCAGCAGGCACCGAGGTGAGTCTGATCCTCCCGTTCCTCCTGCCGAGGCAGCCTGGGGCAGACACCCAGGGCAGGGTCACTCTGCTGGCTGCAGGAGAAGCCCCTTCAGAAGAAGAGAAATTTGCATCGTACCTGCCTAAAGGAGGTTGAGGTGAGTCTCACCTCCAATGGCTTCTCCACCAATTCTGTACTTTTAAAAACACACGGTACAATATAATCATGGTCTCTGGCACAATTTATCACTTGAACCAAGTATTTCATGTGCTCTGATGAAGTCCTGCACATCTATTGAGGCATTTAGGATAAGGATAGTTAAATATGAAAATACTGGTTAGGAATAAGGGAAAATGGGATCATAAATCATACAAAGACTGAGAACTTCCAGCCTGGTACCGCAGAAATACAAGACATCAACTTCACCAAACAGGCTGGAGTTGGAGAAGAATGGTCTGGCATTCATAACTGTAATGAAGTGACTTGATTTTGTGGTTTCTGAAAAGTCATACAGTTAAATCTAACCTTTTTAGTGATTTTGGTGCCATATGTATCACAAGTCAGTACCACTTATCAGCAGTATCTTGACCTTTAACTGTGTGGGATTTGAATCAGATTTCAGCTCTGAGGAAGGACAGTTTTACATTGAATTCCAAACTCTCCTTTGCAGTCATATCCTCAGGCAAAAGACTAGGACAAGGTGTGTGTCCATTTAGCCCAGTCCAGTCTAGCCCCTGACCATGCACCTGCCTTCTGTTACTTCACCACCTTCGAGTGGTGTTTGTGGCAACATGGAAAATATTTATCACCACAGGTCTTTTTATATTACTCTTCCTAAAACAAACCAGCATCTTGAGAAATTTCAGATTTCTGACTAGCATGAGGATGCCACACTTGGCTTTGCAAAATGTGAGTTTTATGTACTTCCTTTATATTCATCAACATTTCTGGGAGAGGCCTGCCTCAAGAAAATCAGAGCAGATAAAAACAAAACAATGGCACAGGCATTAAATTGCCATTGAATTTAAGGCTCTGTGTCTTATCTAGGCAATATTCTAATTCTGTATGATAGTTGCATTGTATTGTCTTATGAAAAATCACATTGGTTCAAATAATAACCACAGCAGGTCAGCAAATGAGATTCCATTACAGAGGAACTCAGAGTACTGTGCCAGTTCTTGTGGCATAGTCTACCCTAGAGACATCTGAGTCATAAAATATTCCCTAATACACTTTGGCAACTTAGGTTCTTCCACGACTTTAAGAAATTACTAACCAGTATCTTCGTCATTGGTGTTACTTTACAATTTCCTTAGAATTTGAGGGGGATTTAAAATATCTATACAAATGAAATATTGAAAAAAAATATTGAAAAAATATACGCATTAATATGAAATCCATCCTGAAATTGATATAATACAGGATGTTTCAATCAAATGATTCAGAACTATATCTTTCACTTTTATGTAATATTCTAAATGTTCTTTCTGGAGATTGTCATTCAATATTTATATCTGGGAGTGGTACCTACCTCTCTCCTGAGATTATCACCACAGTGATCAGTGTCTGATAATAAGTTCAGTTCCACAAATTCCTACTATGAGAAAGTCAGGATGTTCCAAAGCTCAGCAAGAGCAAGACAGACATTTTTAATGAGTTCATATAAATAAGAAGAAACATTTTCTGCACCTGATTTGACCAGAGAACATTTCATGCCATGTTAAACACTGAAAAGTGTTTAATGAAGGACACACCAGGTTTGTGTCTTCAACCTTACATTGTTATCAATAGCTGGAGAAAAATATATCATAGCAGGAGAAAAAAATCCTTTTCAAATGCATTATCATCAGACTATTATGATAATTTGGAAAACTGTTTCAGAATCATTGGAATGATGGTGAAAGCCTTACAGTAAATATAAGAATGTAGCTCTTCCCAGACACGTTAATCCCCAAGGAGCAGCATTGTCAGGACATTTTCTGGTTGGGGTTGTTGTCTTTCATAGCTGCTCTGGCACATGACAGCCCGTTTCAGATACTATGGTTCACACATAAATAAATCACATTATTGTGACAAACATTATAAATGATATCACAGTAATATGCTTGTCACAAAAATGGCAGAATTGCTCTACACTGGCATATTCCACCTGATTATTCTCATCCTGCTACAGCATTAATGAGATCCTGTCTCTATCTGAAATAGATAGATGCGAAAAAGGTTTTAAAAATAATCATACAGACCTTCAAGCTGAATAACTCAAGTTCTTGGGTGGAACAAACTTTCAACTGGCATCCCCAGCAGGTATAAATTTTCAGAAAGAGAATTTAATTACTCCCAGAAGATGTTCTTCCGCCTCACATTCTGTTTGCAGATAACATGCCACCCACATTCTTCTGTTCCCATTCATCTTCCCCGCAGTTGTGACACCACTTTGCAGCGTCCATGGCATGGCATCTTCTGCAGCAGCATCTCAGCATATTTTACAGTTGTTAGGCAATTTAACTTTGCAAAAGTGAATTCTTGAGAAGGGCAGAATCTTCCAAAGACTTCATTTTGCCAAGGGGGAAACTGAGGAGCAAACAGGTTAAAAATAACCTTTTTTACCATAAAATTGATCATCTATGTCCTTGACATCAAGAATAAACAAAATGTAGAAAATTAGATTAATTTCTTATGATCTCATACTGCTCTCACAAAGGAAGGGAAACAGCCCTTTATAATAAAATTTTATCAAAAAAACTTTATTGGCAATTTTGGATGCCCCATCCCTGGAAGTGCTCAAGGCCAGTTTGGATGGGGCTTGAAGCAACCTGGTCCAGTGGAAGGTGTCCCTGCCCACAGCAGGGGGGTTGGAACTGGATGATCTTTAAGGTCTCTTCCAACCCAAACCATTCTATGACTCTATGAACTATACCTTTGTGCAATTTTCAATTCCTATTTTACTCTGGAATAGCTTTGTTTTAGAAGTAATAAGTCATGCAATCTGACAAAGGATGTTCAGAGAAAAACATGAAATATTAAGAATGTTTTGATGCAGTAGAGCTATGCTTGCTCAGAAATAAATAAAATACTACTCAAGTAGTCATTTATATTTGGCTACTGTACAAAGAGATGTTTTTCATATGTGTAAAGAGAAAGGTAGCTTGGTATGTAAAGTTCCTGCCCTGAGGAAGACCTCAAGTCTAAGAGGTGAACTGAGGATTGTTTAATATTGTATAATAGATCTTTTCATGACAATAGAAGCTAAAATACCCTCATGAGTCAGTTTCTCGAGGGATCAGCATTTTCCTAGGTTTAATGTTGCTGCTCTTTTAACATAAAATAATAAATCTATATAATAGCAGGAATCTTAAATGATTAATCGACCAATTCCAGAATGATAAACACAAGATGGGGTTTAGATGCTGCTGGAAGCACGTACCTGCAGTGTGTGGCTTCTGGAGATGTAGTCTGTTTTATGCTACCAAACCTGACAAAAAGTTTCTGCTTGAATTTCCTGGATGAAAATAGAACTATTTTAGCTCATTCAGGTTTCCGCTCCTGTGGTTTTTAAGACCTATCTCAAGACCAAGGGCATCCTACATGGCAGCAGGGAACACAATTCACTGCACCCGAGCTAAATGCCAACAAAGGACAGGGTCAGGGACACCACATCTGCATAGCACAATAATCCCATATAACCCAGGTAATTATTTGAATCAAGGACTCCACTTGTCCTTGGAGAGCTGAGCTGCCTGAATCACACAGGTGTGCTCACCTGTGTGACAGCCTGAGGTGTTCCAACATGGTGACCCAGCACTTTGGAGATGCGCATGTGGCTTCTTTCTCAACAGATCCCAGTTGTATTAATCTCCATCAGGGATCACTCTTCGGTCTTGAGTCCAGTCCTTGAGTCTTGTGTTCCCTCATACAGAACATCTTACACCAAAGAAGAAGGATGATGCACTGAAGCTGCTTCCAAAGAATGGCTCCTGGCCCAGGCTTACCTTTGGATCATGCAAGGCAATTGTCTGGGAGATGAATTGTCATGGTCCAAAACTGTGCTACTGTGCACTGCTGTGCTACTGGTCTTACAGAACAGCTGGGTACACATCCCCTCCTCTGCTCTGGGCTTGCCTTGGCAACGTTCTAGTAGAGATGCAGCCATAATGAACACGGCTTTGAAGTGGATGAACCTGGGCTACATCATTTTGACTGTCAGCAGAACTCATTATTCCGGTGTTGGAGCTGGATCACATGGCTTTCTGTCAATTCAGAACAAGCTCAACTGTGCTTGCAAAATAACATGCAAATTCATCATAACCCAAAGCATTATATAACCAGATCCTCATGCTATAGGAAACAGCATGTTCCAGAAGTCCCTGGGAGTCTTTACATAGGAAACAACATGTTCCAGAACTGCCTGTGAGTTTGTGCAGGGCTGGAACAAAAGTGCAATTGTTTGTAATCCACAGAATTTTACCCAATGTACAGTTATGCATCTGGGCAAACTGAATCAAGAAACTGCTGCTGATCAAAATCTCTCAGATGTCAGCAGGAGTGTTTCTACAGACTAAGCTGTGAACTGTATCCCAAGTTATTGGTACTTCAAGCCACTTTATCATGGACATGCCTATGTGATTGCAATGTTTGATCAGACGCTGTATTGGGTTTGCATGGCCAAACTTTGGTAGTGGGGGGACTACAGGGCTGGCTTTTGTGAGAAGCTGCCAGAAGCTTCCCCAGCGTCCAGTGGAGCCAATGCCAGCTGGCTCCAAAATGTAGAAATGGTGGTAATGCCTCTGAGATAACAGTCCAGCAGGGGAACAACTCCTCTCCCTGAGCAGTGGGAGAGGCCATGGAACTGATCATGACCCCCATTCCCTGTCTCCCTGAGCCTCACTGTGGGAGGAAGTAGAGTTGGGAAGAAGGGAGGGGTGGGGGAAAGGTGTTTTGAAGGTTTATTTTACTACTCATTATCCTGCTCTGATTTTGTTAACAATAAATTCAATTAGTATCTCTAATTTAAATCTGTTTTGCCTGCAATGGTATTTGGTGAGTGATCTCTCTCAGTCCTTATCTCAACCCATGAACCATCTGTTATATTT